AGCAATTGCGAATAGCAGTTCGTTCTTGATTTGGCCTTCTTTAAGTCTGTTATTGGTGTAGACGAATGCTTGTGATTTTTGCACATTGATTTTATATCCTGAGACTTTGCTGAAGTTGCTTATCAGTTTCAGGAGTTTTTGGGCTGAGGTGATGGGGTCTTCTAGGTATACTATCATGTCGTCTGCAAATAGAGACAATTTGGCTTCCACCTTTCCTATTTGAATACGCTTTATTCTTTTTCTTGCCTGATTGCTCTGGCTAGAACTTCCAGAACTATATTGAATAGGAGTGGTGAAAGAGGGCATCCTTGTCTAGTGCCAGACTTCAAAGGGAATGCTTCCAGTTTTTGCCCATTCAGTATGATATTGGCTGTTGGTTTGTCATAAATAGCTTTTATTACTTTGAGATACGTTCCCTCGATACCGAGTTTATTGAGGGTTTTTAGCATAAAGGGCTGTTGAATTTTGTCAAATGCTTCTCTGCGTCAATTGAGATAATCATGTGGTTTGTTTTTGGTTCTGTTTATGTGGTGAATTACGTTGATAGACTTGTGTATGTTGAACCAGCCTTGCATCCCCGGGATGAATCCTACTTGATCATGGTGAATAAGTTTTTTGATTTCCTGTTGCATTCGGCTTGCCAATATTTTATTGAAGATTTTTGCATCTATGTTCATCATGGATATTGGCCTGAAGTTTTCTTTTCTTGTTGGGTCTCTGCCGGGTTTTGGTATCAGGATGATGTTGGTCTCATAAAATGATTTGGGAAGTATTCCCTCTTTTTGGATTGTTTGAAATAGTTTTAAAAGGAATGGTACCAGCTCCTCTTTGTGTGTCTGGTAGAATTCGGCTGCGAACCCGTCTGGACCTGGGCTTTTTTTTGTGTTTGGCTCTTAATTGCTGCCTCGACTTCTGCCCTTGGTATTGGTCTATTCATAGTTTCAGCTTCCTCCTGGTTTAGGCTTGGGAGGATGCAGGAGTTCAGGAATTTATCCATTTATTCCAGGTTTACTAGTTTATGTGCATGTAGTTGTTTGTAATATTCTCTGATGATGGTTTGAATTTCTGTGGAATCTGTGGTGATTTCCCCTTTATCATTTTTTATTGCATCTATTTGGTTGTTCTCTCTTTTATTTTTAATCAATCTGGCTAGTGGCCTGTTTATTTTGTTGATCTTTTCAAAAACCAGCTCTTGGATTTATTGATTTTTTGAAGAATTTTTTGTGTCTCAATCTCCTTCAGTTCAGCTCTGATCTTAGTTATTTCTTGTCTTCTGCTGGATTTTTGAGATTTTTTGATCTTGCTCCTCTAGCTCTTTCATTTTGAGGATAGGGTGTCAATTTTGGAACTCTCCATTCTCCTCATATGGGCTCTTATTGCTATATACTTTCCTCTAGAGACTGCTTTAAATGTGTCCCAGAGGTTCTGGCATGTTGTGTCTTCGTTCTCATTGGTTTCAAAGAACTTCTTTATTTCTGACTTCATTTCATTGTTTACCCAGTAAACATTCAAGAGCCAGTTGTTCAGTTTCCATGAAGCTGTGCGGTTCTGAGTCGGTTTCTGTATTCTGAGTTCTAACTTGATTGCACTATGGTCTGAGAGGCTGTTGGTTATGATTTCAGTTGTTTTGCATTTGTTGAGCAGTGCTTTACTTCCAATTATGTGGTCAATTTTAGAGTAGGTGTGATGTGTGCTGAGAAGAATGTGTTCTGTGGATTTGGGGTGGAGAGTTCTGTAAATGTCTATCAGGTTTGCTTGCTCCAGGTCTGAGTTCAAGCCCCTGATATCCTTGTTGATTTTCTGTCTGGTTGATCTGTCTAATATTGACAGTGGAGTGTTAAAGTCTCCCACTATTATTGTGTGGGAGTCTAAGTCTCTTTGTAAGTCATTAAGAACTTGCCTTATGTATCTGGGTGCTCCTGCATTGGGTCTAGATATGTTTAGGATCGTTAGCTCTTCTTGTTTTATCAATACTTTTACCATTATGTAATGGCCTTCTTTGTCTCTTTTGATCTTTGTTGCTTTAAAGTCTATTTTATCAGAGATGAGAATTGCAACTCCTGCTTTTTTTTTTTTTGCTCTCCATTTTCTTGGTAAATCTTCCTCCATCCCTTTATTTTGAGCCTTTGTGTATCCTTGCATGTGAGATGGGTTTCCTGGATACAGCACACTGATGGGTTTTGGATTTTTATCCAATTTACCAGTCTGTGTCTCTTGATTGGTGCATTTAGTCCGTTTACATTTAGGGTTAATATTGTTATGTGTGAATTTGATACTGCCATTTTGATGCTAAGTGGCTGTTTTGCCTGTTAGTTGTTGTAGATTCTTCATTATGTTGATGCTCTTTAGCATTTAGTGTGATTTTTGAATGGCTGGTACTGGTGGTTTCCTTTCTATGTGTAGTGCCTCTTTTAGGAGCTCTTGTAAAGCAGGCCTGGTGGTGACAAAATCTCTGAGTACTTGCTTGTTCGCAAAGGATTTTATTTTTCCTTCACTTCTGAAGCTCAGTTTGGCTGGATATGAAATTCTGGGTTGAAAGTTCTTTTCTTTAAGAATGTTGAATATTGGCCCCCACTCTCTTCTGGCTTGTAGTGTTTCTGCCGAGAGATCTGCTGTGAGTCTGATGGGCTTCCCTTTGTGGGTAACTCGACCTTCTCTCTGGCTGCCCTTAGTGTTTTCTCCTTTATTTCAACCCTGTTGAATCTGACGATTATGTGCCTTGGCGTTGCTCTTCTTGCAGAATATCTTTGTGGTGTTCTCTGTATTTCCTGCATTTTAGTGTTGGCCTGTCTTACTAGGAGGGGAAGTTTTCCTGGGTGATGTCCTGAAGCGTATTTTCCAGCTTGGATTCATTCTCTTCGTCCCTTCTGGTACACCTATCAAATGTAGGTTAGGTCTGTTCACATAGTCCCACATTTCTTGGAGACTTTGTTCATTCCTTTTTGCTCTGTTTTCTCTAATCTTGGTTTCTCGTTTAATTTCATTGTGTTGGTCTTCGACTTCAGATATTCTTTCTTTGCTTAGTCAATTCGGCTATTGAAACTTGTCATGCTTCGCGAAGTTCTCCTATTGTGTTTTTCAGCTCCTTTAATTCATTCATATTCCTCTCTAAGTTATCCATTCTTGTTATCATTTTCTCATATCTTTTTTTAAGTACCTTAGTTTCTTTGCATTGATTAAATATGTGTTCTTTTGCTCACAAAATTTCTCATTATCCACCTTCTGAAGTCTAATTCCGTCATTTTCGTCACAGTCATTCTCCGTCCAGCTTTGTTCCCTTGCTGGTGAGGAATTTTTGTCCTTTCTAGGAGGCGAGGTGTTCTGGTTTTGGGTGTTTTCCTCCTTTTCCCGCTGGTTTCTTCTTCCCATCTTTGTGGTTTATCCGCTTGTCGTCTGCGTAGTTGCTGACTTTTCGATTGGGTCTCTGAGTGGACACCCGATTGTTGATGATGAAGTATTTCTGTTACTTGGTTTTCCTTCTACCAGCCTAGCCCCTTCACAGTATGACTGCTGAGGTCCACTCCAGGCCCTGCTTGTCTGGGGTGCACCTCTAGCAGCTGTGGCACAGTGAGGGATGCTACCCGTTTCTTTTTCTGCTATCTTTGTCCCAGGATGATGCCTGCCTAATGTCAGTCTTTTGGATATAGAGGGTCAGGGAGCTGCTTGAGGAGACAGTCTGTTCTTTTTAGGAGCTCTATTTCTGAGCTGTGAGCTCTGTTGTTCATTCAGGGCTGTTAGGCTGCTATGTTTGATTCTGCTGCAACAGAGCTCATTTAAAAAACCTTTTTTTCTCAAATGCTCAGTGTTGGGGGGTTCGGCTTTATTTTTCGATGTCCATGAGGTGTCCTGCCCAGCTAGGAGGCAGACTAGCCACTGTTTGCCTGCCTAGTCTCCGCCCTGCTGTTGTGTGATTCGCCCTGTTCCTGCAGGCTCTGCTGTGGTCTTCGCCATGCCCTGCGGTGGAGTCTCTTCATTGTAGAGTGTTGCCTCGGCAGCGGCAGGCTGCATCAGCAGTGGGCGTGTATCTCAGTAGGGACGGGTTGCCTCGGTAATGGGAGGCTGCGTCTGCAGTGGGCGTGTATCTCAGTAGGGACGGGTTGCCTCGGCAACGGCTGGCTGCGTCAGCAGTGGGCGTGTATCTCAGTTGGAGCGGGTTGCCTCGGTAGTGGTGGACGCCCCTCCCCCACAGAGAGTCTCGGACCGTCTGCTCGGGATAGTTTGAAATCGCGGTTTTGTTCGTCCTACTGGGTACCCCAAACGCTCTGTCCCTGCAATCCCCTGGGCTGGCCTACTGTCCAAGTCTTGTTCAGTCTCAAGTCCAGCCCTCTCAAGTCTCAGGTTGCCGGTTCAACAGGGCACCCCCAGACAAGCGCGCCCTGTGGGGATTGCTGGGTAGGGCCGGCCGCCACCGCCCTGGCTGCCGGCTTCTCCAGGCAGACTTACTGCCTGGCGTCCCGTGTCTTTTTTATACTTGGAGTTTCTCCGTTCTGTGGGCAACAAGGTCAGTCTGGAAATGCAACTCCGACTCACCTGTTTGCGGATTCAACGAGAGCTCCAATCCTGGGTTGTTCTCACAGCGCCATCTTGAGGCCTCTCCTAGTGAACTTTTTTTATTTTCTTCCATGAGTGAAAACATAGTTTAGTTTTCTTTTGCTTCTTATGGCAATACTGGTAATTCATATTTTTCTAAGAGATTAACTATGTCACTGATATTTAAAATTTACTGATATAAAATCATATATAATATTTTAAATAATTTTTCTTTGTGTGTATAGTTGTTTACATTCTGAGTATTACATTTTGTTTTCTTTTTTATGATTAGACTTGTGAAAGATTTAACTTTTCATTAATTTTCCAGAGAATTGTTTATCAGTGCTGTTGGTTTTTTTAATTGTGGTAGAGTGTTTTCTGATTCATTATTTTTAGCTTTAATATTCATTCCTTCTTCATTTTAAAATTTACTCTTCTGCTATAATTTTTAAGTATGGTCCAGGGACCTCTAGTGGTGCCCCAAGACATTTTCAAAAGATCCATGAGGTCAAAGCTATTTTCACAATACTAAGGCTTTACTCACCTTTTTTCACCCTTATTCTCTCACAAGTATACTGTGTAGTTTTCCAGAGGCTAAATGACATGTGACACCGAAGCCAACTAAATATCAAAGAAGATATGAGTATCCACCTGCAAAATTGGATGGAATCCAATTTCATCTATTAAGGTAGGTACTAACAAAGTTTGCAAAAATGTAAAACAATACCACACTTCTCACTACATTATTTTTTAATTTTGGAAAATACTGTCATTTTTACATTTTAACCAAAAAAGTTACTTGTAATTATACGTATTAGTTTATTATTGCTATTTTTAATGAACTGATAATTTAAAAAGTTCTTAGTTTGCTTTATAGTGCAGTAAAATGCTCTTCAGGCTGGGAGCAGTGGCTCACACCTGTAATCTCAACACTTTGAAAGACTGAGGCAGGCAGATCACTTGAGGTCAGGAGTTGGAGACCAACCTGGCCACCATGGTAAAACCCCATCTCTACTAAAAAATACAAAAATTAGCCTAGCATAGTGGTGCACGTCTGTAGTCTCAGCTACTTGGGAGACTGAATTGCTTGAATCCAGGAAGTGGAGGTTGCAGTGAGTCAAGATCATACCACTGCACTTCCACCTGAGAAACAGATTGATACTCCAACTCAACAAAAGAAAAAAGCTATTGAAGATCTTTAATAATTTTAAAGAATGTATAGGGATTCTGAGACCGTAACGTTTTGAGAATCACTGTTCTATTGCATATTGAATATCCAGTTTATTTATTTTTATTATTTCTTTTTTGATAGTGAACATGCTTATTTTTATAAATTTAAACAAATTCTTTTTGTCTATAGACAGCCTCTAATTCTTTTTTGGATTTGAGAGATAAAATTGTATTCTCTGAAGTTTGTAAGTTAAAACCTAAACTGGAAAAATGTTAACCAGAAAGACATCTGATTACACCTAACTCTCTGCACCTTATTATAACAGAAACAGAGGCTCTTAGAACTCTAGTTTTACAAACTATGTAGCTCTTGAATTTACTTCAGACAATAAGGAGCTGTACGTGTCTTCGTTTATCAAGAGTACTCCATTGATCAAGACAATTCAAAGCTCATCTGAGATTCATCTGACATTAAAATAAAATCACTAAACTATATCAGATAGAATGTTAGGATCTGTGATTCTGGGCTAGTAATTTATTGGGAGAATCTGAAAGAAAAGTTACAGAGAAAAATTGTGTGTGTTTTTTGTGTTATGGGCATAATATATAATACCACCACTTAAATCCTTATTAAAAAGAAATTACAAGTGTGATTTTCTTGTCAAAAGCGTTGACTAGGTAAAACATTATGTTAAGAGAGATAGAAATGAAGGGAGCCTTAGCAAAATAAAATTGGTAATAATGCAAATCAAGTCTTAATAGTTGAGACTGTGGGCTGTGAGAAAGAAAAATGTGGAGACAGTTGCAGATGGATCGTCTCTTAATCCAAGGAAGACTACATCGGGATTACAAATTAATTATTTAAATTGATAAATACGTTTAAAGAAGTTTTTCAACTTGTCAGTGAGCTTGCAGATTAAAATGTTTCTCAGTAGATCATATGGCATATGAGAAAATAGTAAGTGCTATCTAGAAAAATAAAGTGGAATGGAGGATAAGTAAAGGGGTCAGTTTTTAATAGGATAGTTAGGGATAATATCACTGAGAGGTGACCTTTGAGCAAAACTTGGAGGGGAGTGAGAAAGTCACTTGCATATCTAAGGGGAAGACAACAAGTGTAAAGGTCCTGATACAGGCTCATGTCTGGTATATTTTGGGGAGATGGAATTTATACATATGAAACTGAGGTGGAGGCAATACAAAAAAGTGTAATAAAACAAATATATACAGATATATTTTGAGACAGGCTCTCAATCGCTCAGGTTGAAATGCAGTGGTGTGATCATGGCTCGTTGCAGCCTGGCTGAAGTGGAATGAGCACAGTTCACTTCAGCCTTGCTGCAGTGAGCTCAGATGCCTGGACTCAGGTGATCACCCCACTTCAGCCTCTAGAGTAGCTGGAGCTATAGGCACATGCACCACACCCAGCTACTTTTCTCTTTTTGGAGAAACAGGGGTTTTCATCATGTTGCCCAGACTGATCTTGAACTTCTGAGCTCAAGCAAGCCACCGGTCTCAGCCTCCCAAAGTGCTGAAATTATAGGCGTAAGTCATCGTGCTTGGCTTAATTCTATAAATTAAATATATAAGTGCTTAGTAATGGGATAACATTCCATGACATTGAGCTCTGTTTTTTCACAAAATATCTTATGGGAGGTGAGTTTAGATCCAGGTTTTCCAGGAAATTATTAATGATTTGGTAAGATGGAAGGCATTCTAGATGGAACAATGTGTTAGTTAATATAGGTTTACTATGTTCCAGACACATGGTAAGCCTTATACATATTTCAGCTGTTAATATTAGGGATCAAATGTAGTTTATGTGAGAAATGTATATAGACTTAGTTGGCAGGGTTTAGCTGGCAAGAAGGATTCGCTTTAGGTATAATTTGGCTACTATTTTTAACTATTAAAATAGATCTTTGAAGTTATCATTACAAGTAAAACAGAATTTCTTTTCTCTTTTTTACATTCTAGATACCAAAATAATTTCCCTTTCTCACCTTGAAATGACCTGAGCTAACAGAAGAAATTTTCCTGCATTGCTTATGAGGATCATACATAAATCAAAATGGTGAGACTATGGGAAACCTGATAAAAAGATGACTGAACCATATCAAGTACAAGTAATGATAAAATATCCTATGTGAATTTAAGGTTATAAATTATAACTTACACACTTAATAGTATGATAACCTGTTCGTTTAAATAGCGTAAGTCACTTCAATGTAATTTTAAAATGTACATAAATATATGTTGTATTTTTCTGCATAATTTATTGTACATACAAAATTATTTCTGTATTGGTGCCCTTTATTTTCCTGATCTAGGTGGTCTTCTTCCCACCTTTTTATTTTCCTAAAACTTTTTCTTCTCAGCTATGCTTTATGCACCACCATATAAACATACTCTAGCCTCCCATTTAAAAGAGAAAGTAAAATAATCTGCCTTGGTCTTATGACTCTTTTATTCCCAATCTCTTTCTCTTCAGATAAGCTCTTGAAGAAGTAGTCTACACTAGGTGTTTTTACTTTCTTACCTCCCATTTCTCAACACAATTACTTTGGCTTTTTCCTTAGTTTATCATTCACTAGTAACTCTAACTGTGAAATCTGTGTGATATTTTTCTATTGTTTTGACTCCACACTGCATAATGCTCGTGAGCTCTACTTCCTTGATATGTTTGTGTTCTGTTTTTTTCTTTCTTAATATTATACTGTATTTTCCCATGATATCAAGAACTATTTTACATATTTCATTAAACTTTCATTACAAAAGTATACATGCTTCTTATAGGGAATTTGGAAAATGTAGAAAGCTATTTGAAGATCTTACTACTCAGAGAGAGCCACTGTTAACATGGTGTGTTTTATTCCCTTCTTGTGTGTGTGTGTACATCACTTATACACATATATAAGCATAAACTAGATTTACATATACATATCTATTATATTTATATCATAAATGTAACATATATGTACATAGGTACAGGTATCATATATTTTATGTAACTATATATGTTATATATTACAGTAATTTTTCTTTTTTATTTTATTATTTATTTTTTTAAATTACATTTTAGGTTTTGGGATACATGTGAAGAACATGCAAGATAGTTGCATAGGTACACACGTGGCAGTGTGATTTTCTGCCTTCCTCCCCTTTACCTATATCTGGCATTTCTCCCCATGCTATCTCTCCCCAACTCCCTATCCCCCACTGTTTCTCCCCTATTCCAGCCAACAGGCCCCAGTGTATAGTGCTCCCCTCCCTGTGTCCATGTGTTCTCATTGTTCAACACCCACCCATGAGTGAGAACATGCAGTATTTCATTTTCTGTTATTGTGTCAGTTTGCTGAGAATGATGTTCTCTTAAAAATGGGAACTATATTCTGAATACAGTTTTGTATTATTTACATTTTCTTAAATTTGCTCTTATCACTAAAAATTCATCATTCATAACTTTACAGTTATAAAGTTTTAGCAAATGATATCATAAATTATTCAGTCATTCCTTGATATTTGTTTGCCTTCTCACTGTTGCAATACTTTCTTCCCTAATTTTTAAACTCCACTTACTTGTTGCCTTCCTGTCTCTTTGTGTCTTCATCATTTTGTCCCTACTTGCCTCTCCAGTTTCATCTCTTCCTGAGCTTTCTATGCCCATAATAACCAAAGTGCCCTACCTGGAATTTTCTAATGGTAATCAATTGTTTTCTACTTTTCATACCTCTACTTATGTTACTTCTTCTGCCTAGAAGCTCTTCCTTTCAATTATCATCAGATTGGCAAAGCCATCTTTAAGATTCAGTTCAGTGCCTACCTCTGATTTAAATCTTTCCATGTATACCCATATGCCTAGTCACTAAGGAGAATCAACTACATGCTACTCAGGACCCCATTATAGAGCATGTATAACCCAGTTATACATATCTGTTAATAGATTTGCTAACCTTACTCTACTGTGAGCTCTCTGACTGTAGGGAAGAAGTATTTTATAGTGCTTAAGAGTGCACTTCCTCTAGTCATATGAACCGAATTCAGGTTTTGGCTCTGTTTACCATTTCTTAGCTTTATGATATCGGGAAATTTATCCTTTTAAAGCCTCAGTTTAGTCATCTATAAAATATGGATACTAATTGTACTTACCTTACAGGGTTGATGTGAGGATTGAAGTAGTTAATATAAGTAAAGAATTTACCTATGTTCCAGGCACATAAGTCCTATATATATTTTAGTCATTATTATTAGGAATGACGTTTGATTCATCTCTTCATTCCAGTGCCTAACATAATGTCTGGAGTAGAGAACCAGTAAATGTTTAATGAATAAAAAAATGAATTGCCCAAAATGTATATTCATCATTAAGAGAAGGGTCTGAGAAAATAACATCATTATTTAAGAAGAAATTAAGAATTAGAAACCACATTAATGATTGCCTTTTAGGCAGAGCTGAAGTTGTCACTGTATTTTAATACCGAGAAAAACTCCATCAGATACTTTCTACTCAACAGATTTCTGTATTTAACTATACTCAGAGTCAGCAATAATGCACATTTGTTCTAACATTCCCCTTTCTGATAGCATTATTTCTCAAATAATGTCTCAGAAATTATTTCCATGTCTTATGTACCAGCCTTGTGTATTGCTATAAATAATTAATGTAACCAGGGTATTGATGGCATTGTGCCCACTCAATTATATGTTTATCTAAAGTTCTCAAATATTAATATCAAAGCCATTTAACAGTTCAGATAACCAAGAATGATGTCAAAATTTTAAGGTAAAACTTGTAACATGCGATTTGTCTCATTGATTTGACAATGTGTTGTGGGATCACTCTTTAAGGCACCATGCTAAATACTATGGAAGAATCAAATATAAATAAGATTTGCCTGTGTCCTCAGAGCTTCCTTCACACAGTAATTTAGTAGCACATTTAGTACTCCCATGGATCTGGTGGCTGTCTCTTCTTTAGATCACCATATTAGCAGATTTGACAACTGAATCATTATTAATAATTAAAAATTAAATGTTATTTTCTATCACCCTAAATGATCAGATAATATGTTATATACCATCTGTATACATAAAAGTGACAGATATGTATATGCTTTTACTCTTTTTTTCTAGACCTGTTTGGAGGTTGCTGACAGTTCAGGCATGGTGTCGGTGATTATGTGGAATGCCCCCCGGTCCTGAGTGGTTTAAAATTTTGCGAGTTGGTTTAGTTTTTCTGCTTCAAGATTATTCTGTTAAAAAGAATTATCCATTTAGAATACAGCCTGTCCCCATGGATCCACAGATCAAACTAATTTCTACAATGAGTTAAGTATTCAATAAATTTGTTGTCTTATGGCTATTTTATATATATTTGCAATATACCATATTAGAAAAAGACCATAAAAATTACTGAAACTGTTAGAACCTAACGAAGCTTTAAATTTATTTGTTCATAGAATTTTCAAGCAATCACATAACCTAATAAATATACCTGTTTATTATTTCATTATTAAAAAAAATATCTGAGATATTTATTGTTGATTGAAGAATGAGCTCCACTTGGGTTGTACTTATTTTGTTTTCTTTTACTTTTGGTCACCTAATACTAACTTAACAATGAATATATTTTGCATTTACTACTAGTTTCTATCTCAAAAGGACTTCCGTTAACTTTTGTATTGAAATAATTTCAAACTTACATAAACGTTAAAAGAATGGTAGAGAGATCTCTCATATACCCGTTATCCATATTCAACAATTACTAACATTTACTTTTGCTTTATCATTGTATCTCTCTCTTCACATATATACATATCTATACACACACACGCACACACACACACACACCCATACACACACCATACATACACACGTATGTATATATATTCCCTGTGATCCAGTAAGAGAAGTAGCAGCCATCATACATACCCCTTTAAGCCTAAACACTTCACTAGTATTTCAGTGTATATTTTCTAATAAGAAGAGTATTCTATTACATATATCTGAGTACAATTACCAAAATCAGGAAATTTAAAATTGATACAATACTAATATCTAACCTATAATCAGTATTCAAATTTTGCCAATTTCTGCAATCTTAAAAGGGCTTTTTCTAATTAGTACTGATATCTTGACATCTTAAATATTTTAAACCATTAAAATTAAAGTATTAAATAATTGTTTTAGATATGAACATGATTTTATTCATTTTCATTTTTAAGAATTATAGATTACATTGCTTCAGTTTAAATACTGTTTTTGGTTTATAATAGCTTTATTCTGAACCTGAATTTCTGTGTATTCTAAATTTCTCAGCTAATGCACTCAGCTTAATTACTTAGAGAATATTCAGATAAAGGTATCAATTGTTGATTGTTTTCTTAATATGTGTTAATTTGCAAAAATCTTATATGATTATTTATTAAAATCTTAAGCATTTTGTAGACATTGGTCAGATCTCCCTAAATGAAGAAGTTATTACCTAGATAGTCTGGTACACATAGTCTATTATCTCATTAGTTTTTGCTATAGAAATGTGAGGAACTGAACTGATAGAGATATTGTGATTTATTAAGAAAACACAATAAAAGATGGTGAGAGGATGCTAATTTACAACATGCCACCTCTGCTATATAGAATTGTAGGACCAGATTTTCATCATGAAAACTCTCTAAGGTATGAGAAACAATTTATTCTTTCAAGTAAGTAACTGAAGATACAGAAATTATTTTTTAAATGATAGCCTTGGTGAGAATATATTTACAATGTACATTTTGCTATTTAAAAACAGTTTTACTTCTTAAATGTTATCAGCAGTCTCTATTTTCTTCCTCATATTTTTGATATGTAACAGGACTTTGCCTTATTTTTCAGAAAACAATAGACTATGTAAAGCACTAAGTAGTAAATATTTTGACTTTCCAGGCTATATGGTCTCTGTTTCAACTTCTCAGCTCTGTCTTTGTAGACTGAAGGCATCCATATGTATGTAAAGGAATGGCTATGGCAATATTCCAATAAACATTTATTTACAAAAAGAGGTAGTCATCTACAGCCTGTAGTTTGCCTAGACTACATGTATCAGTAGATTGCAACTCTGGCTGTATATTGGAATCATTTGGGGAGTTTTAAAGAACCACTGATGCCCCATACTCAAAGATTCTGATGTAATTACTCTGAGAATGGGACCAAGGCATTGCTATGGGTTTAAAATTTTCCAGCTGATCCCAAAGGTATAGCCAAGATTGGGAGCTATGCCTTTATGATTTTTAAAATTACCTATATAAAACTAATGAGTTTTTTATCCTAGCATTTTCTTCATTTTTAATTGGCAAATAATAATTAACATATTTTAGGGTCTAGTGTAACATTTTGATCTATGTATATACATCATAGAAAAACTCAATCAAATATCCATCACCTTACTAACTTACCACTTTTCTGTGGTGAGAACATTAAAAATCTACTAGTCATTTTGAAATATATAATACATTATTATTAACTGTACTCACCATCCAAGGTGATAGATTCCTAAGACTTATTCCTTTAATTTTACTAAAATTGTACCCTTTGATCAAGATCTAGCTTTTTCCTATCACTGTCCACTTGAGCCACCCTCCCCACCCCACCTCTGGTAACCTCCTTTTTACTGTCTGTTTCTATGAGATTGACTTTTTTAGATTCTTGAAGAATGTTATGCCAATTGAAATAAGCCAGGCACAGAAAGACAAATACTGTAAGATCTAACTCATAAGTGGAATCCAAAAAGCTGATCCTATAGAAACAGAGTAGAAAGGTGACTGTTTAATTTATTTATTTATTTATTGAAACAGAGTCTTGCTGTATCACCCAAACTTAAAGTGCAGTGGTACAATCTCGGCTCACTGCAACTTCCAGCTCCTGGGTTCCAGCGATTCTCCTGCCTCAGCCTCTCAGGTAACTGGAATTACAGGCACACACAACCACGCCCAGCTAAGTTTTATATTTTTGGGAGAGACAGGGTTTCACCATTTTGGCCAGGCTGGGCTTGATCTCCTCACTTCAAGTACTCTACCTGCTTTGGCCTCTCAAAATGCTAGAATTACAGGCATGAGCCACCACGCGAGGCCAGAACATGATTAAGTATATTTTAATGAAAAAAAGGACAGTTCTATAAATCACGTTAGACACAAAAGATGCAAAAAGTCAGTAATATACAGTTCTACTTTAAAAAGTAGTCTAATGAGATCACACCTATGTAAGATAAACAATTATAGTAAAATAAAAGACTAATGATAGTAAACCATATTAAAAATGTATAATGTAACAAAGTAATAATGTAAAAAAGGAAAAAGAAATGAATAAAAATGTAATTGAAGAAAGAATGAACAGTGAAGTAGGAAAATGTGCTGCATGGGAGAAAGTGTTAAGCAACGATTAGGAAAAATACCAGTGTAACCAGGCACGGTGGCTCATGCCTGTAATCCCAGCACTTTAGGAGGCCGAGGTGGGTGGACCACAAGGTCAATAGATCAAGTCAATCCTTGTCAACATGGTGCAACCCCGTCTCTACTTAAAATACAAAATATTAGCTGGGCATGGTGGTGCGTGCCTGTAATCCCAGCTACTCAGGAGGCTGAGGTAGAAGAATTGCCTGAACCCAAGAGGTGGAGGTTGTGGTGAGCAGAGATCATGCCATTGCACTCCAGCCTGGGCAACAAGAGCGAAACTCTATCTCAAAAGAAGGGGGAGAGGTAACCAGTGTGAGAAGGAAGGTATTGGGAAGTAAGCACTTTTCAGACAGAGGCCACAGCCCATGCAAAGTCCCTGGGGAAGGACTGCTTCTGGTGGATTGCAGGAAAAGCAAGGAGGTCCCTGTGGCTTGAGGAGAATAAGGAGGGGAGAGAGGGAGGAGGTGAGGAGAACAGGTTGGGCAGGGCCTGCGAGCCTTGAGAAGGTGGGGGATGTTAAGCAATATATCTTTTAATATAAGTGTTATTGGAAATCAAGAAGCAGGAAATAAACAGTCCAATTTTAGTTTTTGGGTTTTGAAATGGGTCTCACTCTGCAACCCAGGTGGGAGTGCAGTGGCATGATCTCAGCTCACTGCAACCTCTGCCTCCCAGACTCAAGTGACTCTTGTGGCTCAGCCTACTGAGTAGCTGGTATTCCAGGCACCAGCCACAATGCCTGGCTAATTTTTGTAATTATAGTAGAGACAGGATTTCACCATAATGGCCAGGCTGGCCTGGAACTACAGACCTCTAGTGGATCACCTGCCTCATCCTCTAATTCACATTTTAATAAAAAGATATTGGTTGGGGTTTGTGGCTCACACCTGTAATTCCAGCACTTTGGGAGGCCGAGGCAAGTGGATCACCTGAGGTTGGGAGTTTGAGACCAGATTGCACCAAACTGGAGAAATCCTGTTTCTACTAAATACACAAAATTAGCTGGGTATGGTGGCCCATGCCTGAAATCCCAGCAATTTGGAAGGCTTAGGCAGCAAGATCGCTTGAACCTAGGAGGCAGAGGCTGCAGTGAGCCAATATCCTGCCACTGAACTTGAACCTGGGCAATGAGAGTAAAACTCTGTCTGAAAACAAAGAAATATAACAAAACAAACAAACAAAAAAAAACCTGGGCATGGTGACAGGCACCTGTGGTCCCAGTTACTCAGAAGACTGAGGCAGCCGAATCACTTGAACCTGGAAGGTGAAGGTTTCAGTTGGGTGAAATCACCCACTGCTCTCCTGCCTGGGAGACAGCAATATTTTGTCTCAAACAAAATGAAAAGCAAAACAAAAGCAAACACTTCTGGGCTCATGTGATCCTCCTACCTTAGCCTGTGAAATTGCTGGGATTATAAACATGGGCCACCATGCCCAGCCTGGGCCAACATCTTAATGGAAAGGGGTAACTAGTGTGAGAAGGAAGGTATTTGGGGGTAAGCACTTTCCGGACAGAGGACACAGCCCATGCAAAGGCCCTGGGGCAGGAGCGTGTGGCATATTGGAGGAACAGCAAGGAGGTTCGTGTGGCTTGAGCAGAGTGAGGAGTGAACAAAAGGGAGCAGGGAAGAAGAATGGGTTGACCAGGGCCTGTGGGCTTTGGGGTGGGGGAAGTTTAGAAGTTTATCTTTTTTTTTTTTTTTAATTTTTTATTGGATTTTAGGTTTTGGGGTACATGAGCAGAGCATGCAAGACAGTTGCGTAGGTACACACATGGCAGTGTGCTTT